GAATATTTTAGCAATCCATAATTTCAAACAGTTGAATGTTTTTTTATCATCAACGTTATGCCAGGGAAAACGGAAACTCCTAAGTGGCAACTATTTAAAAAACAAAATTCAACAACACAAGCAATCACAGGGGAATTTCTAAACGATATATTTTTCACGTGCATTGCATATGCGTACCACTAGTTCTACTTAAAAGTGTTCAACTCCTCTATCATCTTATTTTGTGGTGTGTAGTTTTAAGTTTAGATACATCAAAACCAAAAACAAAAATTGAAGTAATTGCTTAACTGAAAACGCACAAATGCAATTAACAGAGGGAGAGAGCAACCTTAATTTTTCAGTACCACCAGTCCTCGTTAGCGCAAATGTGTTCGGTTGTTGAATTGTACTTGACCCCATTACAATTAAGCAACTTTATCACCTGTTGGTGGTCTCACCTCATGGAGTCCCATTTGTTTCTCACCTGTTGCTTTCTCCAGTTGCACATGGATGTGGTGTTGAATAATAATATAACTCACTCCAACCCGGGTTTGGTTAAGAAATTAACTTGGCGATGACCCTCCTTGAGGTCTATTTCGCAAGTGACTATGAACACCTTCAGTACCACCAGACTCCATCGTGCATTTTTCGGAAGCATTCATCATTGTTGATTTTAAGGGGTGCAGATGAGCCGGCATCTGGGTGATAACCAACCTGCATTCGAGAGTTAGTAACAAAAATTCATCAACATCCACAGCGTACTTGAGAAAAGGGGGGAAGAAGACGACTTTTATCTTACAAACAGGACATACGAGAAGTTAAATCCAAAATGATTGACTTTTGCTTTCTGGCCTCAGAGTAATGTGGATCCATGAGCGGTAGTAAATCATAGTTCATGGCCACAACGAACTTTCAACGGCGGAGATGAAGTTAAAACGAAACGGGGAATTTTTATAAATGTCACTAAATTTGAAAATCCAAAAAAAAAAATAAAAATAAAAATGTTATTTTCACTTTTTTTGAGCAAAAATGTCACTT